TAAAAAATCATAAGAAAATGGGCACTCATTATCACCTTCTAATAGTTAATTCATCTTTTCATCGATAGTTAAAGTGCAATTTGTGTAAAAATGAAAGTTTAGATGTGCGATAAGTAAATCCATAAGAATTGGGTGCTATTTATGTAATTTTCCCTTTTATAAGGACGATGCGGGAATAAATATATAAAAAAAATGCATCACATCATGCTGTTTGCTGCAGATTAAAAGGCTACCATTTTTTCATAGATTAATTGTTTCTGCTTTTATCAAAGTTCGATCTAATAGATTATTAGAGCCATTTACATGCATACCACCCAATTCCGAATTAGTATTTACATATCCAACACACCTAAATTTCACCTTTTTTACATTCATACCACCCAAATCTTTAATATCAAACAAAATATATCATTATTTTTAACTTATTAAAAATCAAATACAAGTTTTCATCCATATATAAGGTGGTATATAAGTAAAAACTGAAGTTTAGGTGTCAGATATGTAAATACATAGGAATCAAGTGGTATGTATGTAAGTTTTCCCTGTTCGTAGGTATTCAAATGAATTTCGTTGATGATATAATAAATGAAGGATAATACAAGCAAAATTGTTAAGAAAAATTAATTAATTGCAACTACATTTTCAGCTCCATTTATCCAAAAATAGAAAAATTAAAATAAAATAAAAGAGTTTACATGCTTACAAACAATGAAGAAAGTGACTCCTGATATACCCTGGACTTAAATCTACTCCAAAATAAGAAAATTAAATTAAAATTGAATTAATTGGAATATGCGAATTTTGAGTTCTTAACAAACAAATTTTGCGGCCATCATGCCTTCTCAAAAGAATTTTCTAGGAGTATCTCAATAAGCGCATAAGGAAACACGAAAAATACAAAGAACACTAAAATTTAACATGAAATAAAGTCTGAAAACACGAAAAAATCACATGGCCACACACATAAAAAAAATCACCATGAAAATAAAATAAATTTTTTAAATTACATTATGCTCAAGCCTCTTTACAGTCCTAGAACTTACGAACACTTGTTTCTTTCTTCCACACGAGAACTCGTGAAATTCAACTTTAGTGTGCACTCGTTTTTCTACTTTTTCACATTCCTACAATGAAAGATGAAGACTTAAATCCCGAACTACAAAAATTTGGTTACAGGAGCCGAGTTTCAGACCTCTAAGCTGAAAATGTGCTTATCTGGGTGCTAGGGTGCTTGCACTGGTGATGGGGCGTCTCAATTGCAATGCCTAGGTGCTAGACATAAGCACAGGGGTACCCGGTTCAGGTGCTAGGTGCAATTTCGTTGACACAATCAACCTCCAAATATAAAAGTATATAAGTTTCCTGGTTCATTGCTTTTAAAACCCAACCAAACATTCTTCTAAAACCTAAAAGATATATCCAACTTAACAAGAACACAAGCAATAAAAAGTCTAGATTAAAATGGAGTGGCCGAGTCTACATATTATTAAATAATAATAATCATATCGAAGCCAAAAATTAAAATATGTCATTTTTCATCAAAAATGAAAAAAAAAAAAGAGAAAATAAGATAGGGACAATGATTGATTCTTAACATATTCAAAGAATGAGACTATTTAAAGAAACACTAAATATATATCCATTAATACAATCTATAATAGAAACCCAATTAATGCCATATCCCCATGTTGAAGTTGAATAATATCCCATTCTCCTGAAAAACACACTAAAAATAAGCCTATTGTTAAAAGCACCCCCATGAAAAACTTGTACCAAGCCATAGCACATGACATTAACTTGATGAGTAATCCCTAAATCATGCCATACTATTTTATGCATCTCCTCAAAGAAAAATATTGTTCTATTTTTTTATTTGACTAATCTGAAGTGAACAGTGATGGGCAGCAAATTGAAAGCAGGAAGAAGCCAAAAAATGTGACAGCTTTGCATCTTTCATGGTCGCCTCAGTTCTGTTAAAACCAATTCGTCTTTTCTCTGCCTCCGTTAAGAGGAGAATTTGGACTTATTTTTGTGAGAGTGACGTATTTAGTGCATGTCACTGTCTTCCTTAGTCATTTCACTGTAAAGTTTCATTCCCTGTTATTCATTTTTACACGCTTGTGTCTTGGAAAATAAGAAGAAAATTTACATACATGCCCCCTAGTTTTTATCTATTTACATATCTAATATGTCATCTTATCTATTCATATAAGAAAAAGGTGGATTTCATTGTTTAAAATTTAAAGTTTGATGTGATATGATTATTATGTGAATGCATAACAATTGGGAGGTATATATGTAAATGCATAAGTGGGAGGTATACATGCAAAAATAAATTGGATGACCCCAAATGAAAATGTTGTTACATTTGCAAAAAACAGGAGGAGATGACTCCCATTCCAAAGACACAAACGCATAGTAATTCTCTCGTAAAGTGTTCTGCAAGTGTTAAATGTGAATGTGGAGAGAACAAATAAAGGAGAATGCATTGAAAATAAAAGGAAGGTTTATAAAGATAAAGGGAAGGAAAAATTTGGATTGAAACTCTTCTTGCTCTAAGCTCCAACACTCCTATTATGCGCTTCTCACATTGAATTACTCCCAACACTCACAATAAAATTGTTAAATGTACTTCCATACACTCTAATTCATCTCTGACAGACCCCTGGCTCATAATCCATGTTTTTATGAAGAAAATCGGTCGAACCGTTTGTAAATTGGATGCCAAACTTCTCCATGTCGGTTTGGGGTGCTAATTTAGCGATGGGACTTTGACTTTGGGTGCAGCACTGGTGCGTTCAAGCACAACAACACTGCTTCTATAAGTACTATAGCGTTGGCTTATGGTACCGCAATGTTATGCTCTCAAAATTTTGGCTGGAAAATGCCTACTTTGGGGTCCGAGGTGCCCCTTATATGGCATTGTCACGCCCTCCTTTAGTTTAATTTGTAAGAAGATCTGATGTTGATGTTTTATAGAATCTTCTAATTCTTAGTCACTTTTCGCCAATAGATTTCATATAGTTAGCGGTAAATGAAAAATTTTTGTGAAGTGTCCTCAACATATTAAGTTCTATCTTAAATCTTCTATGTTATTTGTTCTTGCAGCGTACCATGACCTTATTTTATAATAAGCCTAATACTAATAAATCTATATTAACAAAATGTAATGATTATTCATGATGATTAGTTGGGCTTTGGACAAATAGTTCATTACCTAAACTTCTATCTTTATGGTCATATGTTTGACCCCAAACTCCTCAACTCAACTATTCTCTCATGAAAAAAATTTAGGAGCATGCATGCATTATCCATTGTCTCTTATGGTACAAGATTTCCCCCTTCTATGGATCTTCCTAAAAATAACTCCATGTCAACTTTTAATATTTAATATACAAAAATATGTAATTATTCTTTTTAGAAAATATATTAAATATTTACAATTCTAGTGGATGTAGCTCATATGGTAATTAATGCATTTGTTTCATCTCTTTTAGATATGAAATTTTGCACTGTTTTCATATCGTCCTTTTCTAAACTTACAAGTGCATGGTACATATTATAATATTATTATTATTTTCTAAAAATAATACCATTATATATTAATGATTTTGACATCTTTTTTTTTTTTTTTTGGCCTTATTCATCTTTCATTTTGGATTTCTATTTTTTTCGTGTTATGACTTTTTAGTTTCTTTTTCTTCGAGACTAAACTTGGTTTGATTCGTACACAGTGTCTTCTCATATACTTCGATAAGTTTTAAGTTTGTTTTGATAATTTTTATTTTGATTGATAAAATTTAATTGTATTTTCTTAAAAATAATAAATAGAATATTATTTGACATCATTTTTTACTCTTAACCAAACTATTCTAAAAATTTAAGCACAATTTTGAATGGGAATTCTTTTTAATTGCTACAAATCTTCTCACACTGAGGAAAATAATCCATGATGTCTTACAAGATGTCTTTATTCATAAAATCGGGCTGTATATTTTTTGGTTTCCACAACATCAATCTCAATTATTAGAACTTTTCTATGCTTTATTTTGTTTTTATTATGGAAATTTATGTATTTGCATATCTCCAACACACAGAGTTTGATATTTACACTTATAATATTTTGATGTCATAAATCTATGCATGAAACACTTTTAAAAACATTAATGATTGTAATATTTCTGATGCGATCTTAATTATTTAAGTAGCTGCATGTAAATATGATTAGTTATGTCGTTTATACGTAAATACATAAGAATTGTGTGGTATATATGCATGTATAAATGCCTCTTTTATTTCTTAAAAGAAACCATTCCAAACACTTTTCATCATTGTTTCACTCTTTTTTCTTTCCCCACTTGAACAAACAAAACAAAAGATTAAAAACCTCAAATTTATAAAATATATTTGTACCAAATAGGTATTTATATAACCTTTCAATATCAAATATTATTGGTTAAAATCATTTATATATAGCAAAACATTAACAACTACATGCACCAAAATAAAAGCAAAATGTCAAAATAGCCCTTGACTATTTATATAACATCATTTTAATCCTAAAATTTAAGAAAATGCCCAATTGAAATTAAAGTAATCTCCATAAAAGATTATTTTAGCACTTTTAATAATTGATAAAAAATAATAATAATAAAAAATTACCTAATAATAATATCTTCTCTCCCTACACCTTTATAAAGCTGCACAAAAACATGTGGAGTTGGAAAGATCACTAATTAATGAGGTGGGGGAGCACTGATCGAGAAACAGAGATCTAGTGAGAGAAAAAGCCAGAAGAGAGAGAGAGAAAGTGAGAGCTGTGCACCCACTCATTCATTCAATCATTACCCCTTCCACCTCTCCCTCCAAAAACACCACACTGTAATAATACCTGTAACTCCACTAACCCCCATATTTTTTACTTCCAAAAAATAAAAAATAAAAAATAAAAACCTAACTCTATTTCTCCCATATTTATATATAATATATATATATATATATCTTCCTCCTCTCATTTTTCCACTTAGTTTTCTCACAGAGATCTGGAGACTGCGGAAGCTGCTGGCCACTGAAGAACATGTCTACCTCTGCTTCATCAAACCATGTTTGCTATGTTCACTGCAACTTCTGCAATACAATTCTTGTGGTAAAATTGCTAAGCCCATATTTAATCTTTCTTCTTAAAGCTTGCTTTTTTAGTAATCTTTCAAAATTATTTAGTTTGGCTGATTTGCTTTTTCTGTAATTTAATTTATTTTATTTTATTTAATGATGCATGATTTCATAGCTCTTTTGAACTCACACAAATGTAAGCATTTGTTTGGTGTAATTTTGTTTGTTTTTTTTTTTTTTGAGTAAAAGAGAAAATAAAATAGTGGAAGAAGAAGATGAAGAAGAAGCCATTAATATATCTCTTCCATCAGCTTTTTCAAAGAAGCTTGGAGAGTTGTTTGACAATATTTTCATAGTATATATTTTTTTAATTTTTTGAAGGATTTTTTTCTTAGTTTTTTATAAAAATGGAATGTTCTTGCAGAATAGGAGTGGTATGAATTCAGACGACTAATGGATGTAGGTCAATAGGGTTAAAATAGTAAAATAATATTCTTAATTTGTTTTCTTTGTCTTTATTATTATTATTATTATTATTATTATTATTATTTTTGACAAAAATGTGGTATTATTATAGATAATAGATAGACAATGATATCTTAACCTGGCTCATGAGATATTTTTAATGTTCTTGAGGATCATTTTCATTGAGTTATATGTTATTTTCTTATGTTTAAACTATGAATAAAATATATAGAATATTTTTATTTACTAGAAAAAGGGTGTTTCTTTTATAATAAGATATAAAGATATGTTTTGCAGTACAAAAATAAGTAGTCTGTTGGGATGGAACTTTTATATACTTCTACTGAGTTTCAATGAATTAGAAATCAAAGCCGCTTTGCGAAATGGGATTATACCGATTCAAGAAAATTTCTAGAAAAAAAGCAAGGACATGATTTAACGTAGAAAGATCTGAGAACAATAAAAAATTATAGAGCCACACTAAGAAAAAATTTTCACTATGAAGAATCAGAAATGTATGATAACTCACTCGGATCTCTTCTCTATAATGAATGAAACTTACAGGACTTTTTTTCAAACCCTTCCTCTTAATCTCACATGAGAAAATGCACACTAAAATCATCCTCTTCAACTCTTCTCTCCTACATGAGAACTAATTTTGCTGAAAGAAACACATGCAAGAAAGATGAAATTCGTTAATTGAAATCGTGAATTTAAAAAACTTAAGAGGAGGAATTGCTCGATGACATGGTCACATCGCATAGCGGCATAATTATTTAGCTTGCTCGGGATCAAATTGCGCCGATCGAACTTCGGCGACATGCTCCCGCTTATTTTGGTTTGGTTACACTGATCGATGTAGCTACGCCCATTCTCGGTGTAGCTACATCAAGTCCATACATGTGCAAGCATTTTTGCAGTTGTGAGCACTTGCGGCTGTTGTGCGCTTCTTCAGGTGTAGGTGCTTCAGACTCCATAACATAACATTGTAGCTCCCACTTGGAGATTAATAGCATCAAGCATCTGTTCTAGCCAAATATGCATCTTCATTTGTATGATCTTCATAGTAATATACCGTGGTGTGACTTACCCTTGATCTCAACCTTTATGGACTCCAACTGAAGCCAGGCATAGCTCTAGTTTCTTAATAGTCTCCACCTTGGTCAATACGTCTCCATGATTCCAAGTCCTAGCATAAAATACAAAATTCTTAGTAAGATAAATGCACTCATAGTGTTATTAGAAAGCTTTTCAATCCCCTGCTCCTTGCCCAATTCTGTCATAAAGCCCTGTAGCCAAATCATCTCCAATGAATTCAACCTCCGTGGTTAAAGCGTAACAATATTATGCATTCTGAAAATCTAACTCACCACTGTGTTCACCAAAGTAAAGATATACCCTATTGCACTTCTTATACCATCTCAATCTCTTGCAATATATGTATTGCACTTTAAAAAAATAGTCAGTACCTAAGAAAAACTTAATTCGGGACATCTAATTACATCTAACTTCATACTGTTTTGACCAACCCTCAGTGGCACGGTCATGCTCATTTTGTCATGGTTGAGCAGATTGGCATAGCAACACTCATTTCGGGTGTGGCTACGCCAAGTCCTTGTTCGGGCATTTTGGCAGCTGTGAGCTACTGCAATTGTTGTAGGCTTCTTCGGCAGTGCGTGCCTCAAGCTTCGCAACATAACATCATATAATTATATTCTATTAAGACTTGGGGTTATCTTACTGTGGATTAACAGATTAATTCATGGGATCAACACATCAACTTTTCTATATTTATTTTCCCTCTCTCTCTCTCTCACACACACACGCGCGCTCATATATATATATATATATATATATATATATATATATATATATATATGCCAGATATTTTTATTAGCCCAA